AGGTAGTAATGTAAAATGTACACATCAGATGCCAAGAACACTGGAAGATAAAGGAAGCGTAATCTATTAGTGTGAAGATTCTAACTGCCATCCAGTCAGCTGTCTGTAGAATGAAATAAACCCCATCCTTCATATTGTTTTCACTTTAAAATCTGTGGTTTGTCAAAATATTCACCAGGAGACTAGCAGTGCTAATGCAATTTGTCAGACAGTGTGTACCTTTTAAGTTTGCTTGCTAAGAAAAACGAAACTTTGGGAGGGAGAAGAAGCAAGTAACCCCATGGATTTCAAGGAAACTCACTGTAGGCAGTAAACGTTAGCAAATGTTCAGGGTTAAAATCATCACACGTATCTGATGGTGCAGAAGGAAGCCTGGCAACAAGTATTTTCCACTCCATCCTGTGCACACATATTGAGGAGTAAGTTTTGCACACTGAACTCTGACAGACGTCTGATTAAATATGCCCCTACAGCTCCATGATTCTAGCTGCTTGAGTTGTTGAGCTTAATCTCTTAATAAGCAAGAGCAAACATCAGAAAGCCAGAAATCAAACAGAGACAACAAACTGCTCTCCAGAAATTAGAAGCAAACCTTTTTCAAACACTGTACTTATAACAACAGATGACAAATGAGAAATACAATCTCAGAAGTGCTTCTGTAAACCTGTTGAGAGGGGAATGGGGAGGGAACGGGAGAACTGCAAGCCAGCTAAGTTTACACATCAAGCTTTGGCGGCGGAAGAGAAAGTGAGTCACTCTTCACAAATTAAGCATCACATGTGGATACAGATAAATGGTACACCATTTCTCTTGACATTTTTGTGTCTTGACATTTTTGTGTTCTAGCTGCCTCTTGACATTTTTGTGTTCTATTAAAAAAAAATTCAGTACTATGACTAAAACTTATTTAATGGCATTAAGAATCAATTTAAGTGGTATTCTCACAATTAAGCTAGCAAAGGCACCTTAGAAGAGTAAGGGCATAATGCTGCAGCCGCTGGAGAGCCCACGGGCTTCAAACAGCAAGGCTGGCTCTTTGCCCTCCACCCCAGATAATGCAAGACTGTTCTGTCTCACATGACTTGCAAGTAGGAGGGGAGAAAGGCAGGTTACTTAAGGGGCTTTCGCCCCTCACACCACCCTCTTCTTTTTTTGGGCAACGAAGGAGACAGAGTCCTTGCTGCATTACTGCAACATTTCGAGCTGTGTCACTGGACATTTCGAGGTTCACTGATGGGAGGGTAGCATCAGCTCCATCCCAGGGTCTAAGTTTGATTTTCCCTGTCTTCTTTATCTTAGTTTACCTTATCATTATATAGGTTCAGTTATTTGATTTTTTTACTTAAGTTGGTCGGGTGGGGGAAGCGGCGGTGTGGCTTCGTGCCCACCACGCCATGGCACGAAGGGGTTTTTTAAAAAGAGAGAATGAGAGACAAACACCTTCTCTTCGTTTAGGACCCTATCTTAATGGTCAGAACAATCATTCCATCTTGCTGAGTAAAGAGTATGGCAGTGAAATTGGAGTGGCCGTTTTGTCTCTTAGTTATAAGTTGTTCTGCCATCTGATTCTGCTGCCTATCTAGACCAAGGCAGGCATGTTTCCATTTCCATTTCTTTCCATCTTTCCCAAGTAAGATGCTAAAGACAGATTTAAAACATGGGCAGGGGAAAAGGGCGGGCAATTCAACTTTCTAACAGTAGGTGGCACCGAGGCTGCTTCTTTGTGCTGTAGCTCTTTCAGCAGTTATAGGGTGTATCCCAGTTGGAGGCTTGGGAGAGCCTCCTGCTTCGGAGTGAGCCTGTGTGTGTGTGTCTGCAGGGAGGTAAGCTCCTGTTTTCTCCTTTAAAAAAACTGTTCTGGGTGGGTTTTAGTGTTTCTGTGCTGTGTTATTAGTGGCTCTGCTTCGGAGTGAGTGTGTGTGTATGTCTGTCTGCAGGGAGGGTACGTTTCTGTGCTCTGCTTTGGAGGAGTGAGCACATGTGTGTGTGTATACAGGGGTCTGGAGTTTTTTTCCTTCTTAAACCTCAGCAACAGAGGTGGCTCTAGTGTTTGTTTCTTTTTTGAGGTTTTTTCTTAAAGCCTCAGCAATGGAGCACCTTCCAACTGGGCTTGCTGTGCTCTTTTTATTTTTTAGGTGATTTTTCTTTGGTCGGAACGGATTTCAGTGCATTCCTATGGGAAATGGTGCTTCTACTTACAAATGTTTCAACTGACGGCCACTCTTCCAAAATGGATTAAATTCATAGGTAGAGGTTCCACTGTATTTCTTTTTAAAAATCTGCCAATACTATTAAGTTTTAAATATTTTAAGGATTTTGATCATTTGACAACAAATTTTGTATGGAAGACTAGGAAACCAAGAATAAAACTTAGGCTATTACAGACTTGAAAGAAAGGGAAGTTCAGGACTACCGAACTGGTTATTACAGTGGTGCCTCGCTTAACGACAATAATCCGTTCCAGGAAAATCGCCGTTAAGCGAAAACATCATAAAGCGAAAATAAAAAACCCATCGAAACCCGTTCAGTGCGTTCCAATGGGGTAAAAAGTCACCGTCCAGTGAAGATCCTCCATATGGCAGCCATTTTCACTGCCTGTATAGCGAGGAATCCATCCCTAAACACAGCAGGGAGCCATTTTAATCACCCAGCGGACATTTTGAAACCACCAATCAGCTGTTCAAAAAACGTCGTTTTGCGAAGAATCGGTTCCAAAGCAGTTATAGGCCAAAGATTACTGAAATTGGAGGTACATGATCTAAGAATGGGTTGGCATGCATACATGTGATATGGGAAATATAAGGAGCAATCACATTTTATGGAACACATTGTGAGAAAGGCACTATGCCTAGTGTGGCAGAAATTTCAAGCACAAACCTATAAGAAAATCCCAACATGGGTAGCGCCTATAGAAGCATTTACTTTGAAAGTGTTGAATCAGAAAAGAGTGTTACTAACATATAAAGAATTACTTAATAAAGAACAAAACATAAAAAATAAGCAAGAGATAGAGGAACTAGGGGTGGCAACAGATTGGTGGACAATGAACAAACTAGAATTGAGATACAAAAAAGATAAAATTATGGGCTTCTTTGAGGGTGAAGTCCAGGTAGATAAACTGTGGATTTATACGGATGATAATATAATTTTTAAAATGTATATATACCTATTGGAATATGATCTGGAGGACTAGAGGGTAAAGGAGACGATGATAAAATGGGCAAGCAACTTTGGTTACAATATCGATATTGATGATTGGACAATGATGTGGAAAGAGTGTCATAAAATGATTAAGCCAGTAAATTTAAGAGAAAATATTCTAAAAAATTTTTATAGATGGCACCATACCCCTGTAAGGTTGGCCAAAATGTCAGAAGGCAATAGCAATGTTGTTGGAAGTGTAAAAAAAAAAAAAAACAGGAACATATTATCATATGTGGTGGACATGTGAAAAAGTCAAGAGATATTGGACACAGGGGTGGGAAATAATAAAATAAATCATTAAACAGAAATTAAATTTTAAACCTGAAATAGCACTATTAAATATTATGCCAAAAATTACTGATAAGAAAATAAATATTGTTTAATGTATGTACTCGTAGCTGCAAGGTTACACTGGGCCCAAAAATGAAAAAGTGAAGAAATACCTATGATGGAAGAGTTCCTAAAGAAGCTGTTGGACATTACAGAATTAGAGACACTTTCAGAAGCACTATGAGAACAACCAAGAGACTATGTAAGACAAAGTTGGAACTTAATATATGTTTGGGCTCAGGAAAAGACAAAAGTTTAGGGCAAAATGTTTTATGTTTATTACTTTTTTCAAGGCTCACTGGAAACCTGGGAAATCTGGGATTCAAATGAGGTTGGAATCTCTGTCCTCTGAAGGGGGGAGGGGTGGGTCTATTTTTTCTCTTTATTTTGTATTTTTTTCTCTTTATTTTGTATTTGTTGTAGTTTGTTTGAACGATAGATGTTTTGTATTCGTATGTTTAAAAAAAATAAAACTCTTTAAAAAAAGCTGTCCCTGCTAACCAAATCAAAGCCTGCTAACCAAATTTGTAAGATCTATGAAGGCCACAAAGAGTGGCTGTCATTGTTCCCTATATTTCTCCAGCAACTGTCTGAGCGAAAATACCATGTCAATGGTGGATCTATGTATTAGCTCCAAATCCACACTGTGATTCTGGATAGACTCTGTCTGCAAGTACCTGGAGTCTCTTCAGTACAACAAGGGCAAGCAGCTTCCCTACAAAGCTGAGAAGAGAGATGCCATGGTAGTTATTGCAGTCGCCCCGTCTCCTTTGTTCTTATACAACGTGACGATGTTTGCATCCTTCATGTCCTGTGGTACTCCACCTTCCCTCCAGCAAAGATGAAAGATTTCATACAGCTCAGTGGTGATGGTCTCTTTACAGCTCTTCAACACTTCAACAGGGATGTTATCCTTCCCAGTTGCTTTGCCAGAGGTGTGGGACGTTTAGCATAGTCCTAAGCATTTCCCTGCACCCCTAGCCTAGAAACGTTTGGACTCAGCCCAGCTTCAGCTGGCTTAGCCTGGCCTCAGGCAGCTTGGCAAGCGAGGACTGCCCCCAAAGGTGTCACTGGAAGGACAATAGACCTCAGCATACACGACTTGATGTTTTGCTATCGAAACAGAATTTGAGGCCACTTCTGTTCTCCGAGTGAGTCTGAGAGTGAGAGATTAAAGCTTTTGTGAGGGTCAACTTCAACATGCTGGAAAAGGAGAAACTGACTGAAGCTGATTAATTGTTGTACTTTCCTTGAACATTCCTCCCTTTCTTCTGTGCACAGCAACAGTTTTTTCTAAAGTCCAGAACTTTGGACTGTCTTGAAAAACTCTGTGTGTGTGTGTGTGTGTGTGATGGGAAGATGCAAATGGAGACTTATGGAATTCTCAGGCAGCCGTCTTGTTGTCACATGACACTTCTCCCAGGTCTTTTAGAACTCTAGAACTTTAGTTGAATGGTGTGGCAGTTGATAGTTTTGAAGTAGATGGTGATTCGGAAGGCAAAGGTAACTGTCACGTGTAAACCTGAGTCAAAGTTGCTGCACTGAAGAGCCTCGTACCACTATTTTCAGATGGTTGAGAGGCCTGAGCCACAACCTTGCTGTTGTTTCTCCTTCTGAGACAATTACCTCGCCTTACCCCCATCTAGTTACCTTTCTCTCTTTGGTGCTTCTCTCCTGCTTCCTGTAAGAGTCTCTCCAAGTCCCCTCTACACGTGCTTTTTCCTTACCTCAGCTGGGACCCACATTCAAAAATTCTTTCAAGCACAATAGTGCTCCTTTCCTCTTTCCAGCTGCTTCAGTTTCCACTTTTTTCTTATGTATTTGGAAGAAAATGGCTTCTGGGTGGCCTCGAAAATTGGAATGGGTATTTCCTGTTGATACCATTTATTTATATTTTGGGCCTAGAAATCAACTTAAGCTCACCTTATAAACCATCAGGGGGCACATTTGGACTGCATGAGTGCCATATATTGTTCATGGTAGGATTCCATTTTCTTTAAGTTATGCCACCTTTTGTTGTATCTGCAATGGGCCTGAACAGATTCTAGGCATCTGGTCACAGAAAATTTTATGATGGTTCTTCAGTATTTCATGGATTTTTAATCTTTTGCAGTGCTTATCAGATTATTGCATATGAGTATACTCTAGAGAATGGCTTTTCTCCTGAAGCCACCATCAAAGTTATCATTACTAACAGTATATTTAGCTTTTTTGGGGCTTATTCCTGACAGTTAAACTGAGTATCATACTCTTGCATACAGCTATATGAAATGAATTAGAGGATAAAATAAATATAGCAAGCAAGGAGTGGAGTACATATTGTGTTTAGAATGGCCAAGGAACAGATACTACACGGAGTCTTGTGGCCCATTAAAGACTAACAAGATTAACTTGTAACATTTTGTGGACTGTATCCCATTTCTTCAGATGTTTTGAGTGCAGCCTCAGTAGACATTTCTACAAACAGGTAATTAGTCAGTCGGTTGTTGTGGGTTTTTCGGGCTCTTTGGCCGTGGTCTGAAGGTTGTTCTTCCTAATGTTTCGCCAGTCTCTGTGGCCGGCATCTTCAGAGGACAGCACGTTCTGAAGAACAACCTTCAGAACACGGCCAAAGAGCCCGAAAAACCCACAACAACCATTAGATACTGGCCGTGAAAGCCAAATTAGTCAGTCCTCTCCATTCAGGCACCCTTGACTATGGATACTCAGTAGTGTACAGATATGAATTTGGTTTGAAAATCAGCCCACCAAGCATGCCTGGTTTCTGTACACTCATTTTGGTAAAGAAGTCTGACACTTCTCTCTGGAAAGCAGTTCCCATTTTCAAGTAGAGTCCCTCAAAACACAGAATAATAGGGTAATGGTGCCAAGTCACTACTGATGTTTTCCAGATGTTGCTTTTATTGTGCAGTTGCCCTGCTTGAGTCACAGAACTTTGCAGGTGAATTGGATAATGTTGATCAAAATTAAGTTAGTGATTTACATATGTGCAAGTTAAATTGTGAATTTCCACCATGCTATTTACAAACTAAGTCCCAGTAGGATTACTAGGCATGTACTTATTGCACAGTTGAGTGCATGCCTTGTAACAGGAGCACCATCTTGTTTACTCATTTCAGTTCACTGCTGTGAGTTAAGCAACTTAACTTATGTTTGCATGAATCACTAACACGATTCTGACCACTTATGAGTACTCTCTACCTTTGCAAAGGGTTGCCAGTATCCTGTCATTCTTAACAAGATATTTGCTAAGGATATTTGGTCAATAGTTCTTTATCCCACCTAAAGATGGATAGAGCTACCATTCAGACAGACGTATAAAGAAGTGTGGTTCAAGAGTATTTTACATAAGAACCTCCAGTTCTGTTGCATAACAAAGTAGACCATCGTCTTCCAGTTTGAAACTTAAATAAAATCCTGATAAACAACCCTCTAATGTTATGGAGTCACAATGTTAATTAAGTCTGATTTTTTTAAAAAATATTTCAAATAGTAGGTATGTGGGATTAATTTGTTATCATGAAGTTGAAAAATGGCTTTGTATACCTTGGATTTTCTTAACGTAAAAAAGTGGTTGTGCTTATGATGGCTGACTTCTTGTTGTGAAGCTTCACCTGCCAAAGGAGAATTATTGCATTGGCAGCAGCATATGGTCAAGGGTTAAAAGCTTCCTTTATCATTTTGGGGTGTGCAGGGCCTGCATACAATGCAATGAACGTTGCTTGCTCCCATTAATTGCAAAGGGAGACCTGTAATTCACTGCAACCTGCTGCTGCTGACATAATTCCTACTTCACAGAGGGACTACACACAACAGGATTTTGACTGATGTGTGTTTCAGTTGATTCTTTGCCAAACTCAAATTTATGAATTTTTCTTGTGGTGTTTTTTTTTAACAGATAAGGAAATATATCACCTCGTGCTCAGAGAATCCTTCTCAGCACAAGACAATGCCATTTCACTTGGCCAGATGGTGCTGGAGAAACCCAATATTTCCTGAAGGTAGAGATGGCAGTGCTCCTCACATTGAAACTGCCTCTCCAGGATGCAATGGTCCTCTGCCACCAACTAGACTTGTCAATAAAAACCGGATTGTAATACCTTGTCTAGGGCATTTTAAAGAGGAATATGAACAAAAAACAAAACATTACAAGAATAACAGAATACGGACTTCAAAGTACAGTTTATGGAGCTTCATACCAATGAACTTGTTTGAACAATTTCACAGGTATATATTCCCAGAAAATATAGCATTGGTTACAAGAAGAATGGAAAACTACAACTTTCAGAGTGTAGTGAAACTGCACCTCCCAGCAACCTCACCATTGGCAATGTTGGACAGGGTGTTACATGTACTGGAATTTTTCACCATACCATGTTAATGTGTTTCCACAGAATCAGTCAAGAACCATGTGGAACCTTCAGGACAAACAAAATGTATTGTGTTAGGGTAAAACAACTATGATAAAGAAGACAAAAATGTTGTGGCACCTTAAAGACTAACTGCTATATTTTAATGAAAGCTTTCATTGTCAAATCCACTTCCTCAGACTAAGAAGAAAACATGTCCATGAAAGCTCACATTAAAATGTAGCAGTTAGTTTTTAAGGCACCACAACATTTTTGTATTTTTTTAAATATGGCTACCTCTTCTAAAATTTATTTTGATTTCAAATATGTGAACTGTCCTCATCAATTGGCAGGTATACCAGTCAGGAGGCATATGACTGGTGGAATCAAATGTGGCGATGGAAAGCAAAATGCACAGTTTGTTACAATTTGCTTAACATTTGCATGGATACAACAACATAAGCACAGGGCCCATTCACAACAGTAGTAATGGATGATAATGCAGCAATTGTGGTCTCAGCCTTTGTTCTCTGTATTTTACACCTTCTCTTCCTGGTTAGTGACTCTTTATCCACGAGTCACTGACAAGGAAGTGTCATGCTTTCCCCTGTCGGACCAGTTAACAGATTGAATCAGCTGTTTCTCAAGAGAAGGATTGCTTGACGCTATCTCTGTTGAACACTTATCCTTTTCTTCCCCCTTCTATAAGAAATTCCATACCTGTTTCTGGAGGCCTTGGCAGGGCCAGAGTCCTCTCTCCATGCCCTACAACACCCTCAGTTGATGGTGATATCCTGAGCACACGGCTTCCGAAGTGTTGTAATGAACTCTGTGTCTGTCTCTTGGATAGTGGAAAGATAGAAATTACCTGTGTACTATCATGATTTTTGTTTCTCAGAAGGCAGGTCTGTGAGTAGATATCCATCCCAGCTTTTTAATTTCACTTTTGTAATAATCGTTCTGTCTGAGCCGGTAAAGTATCATGCACATTATTAATATGGGTGCATGCTGGAAATTCCATCCACCCTGAAGTTTTCATCCTGGAGCCAGCTCAATGTCTCTTTTGAGACAGATTGCAAAGTTCAAGCACAAAATCACCGTTATAAAGGTATCCCAATTGAGCTTGGAATACCGAGTGGCAAACTTGGAGGGTTAAAGTTCAGAAAAGTCAGCTTTTCAAGTTCAGACCAATAAAAATGAAATGTTTAAGTGGAAAAACAAAACAACATTAAGCATATAGAGGCCTAAATGCAATTCTTAGTAACAGATAACAGGCTGTATCTAGTGTCCAAATCAAGCAAAGTGTTAATACTGCTTTATTCTGCTTTGGTCAGATACCTTTTGGGGTATTGCATCCCCACAGTTTGAGAAGAATATTGGCAAGTTTTAATATACCCAGAAGAGGGTGACCAAGATTGTAAAGCTTCTGAAAACGAAGCTCTGCGAGGCCAATTGTGAGGGCTGGTTACATTTAGTCTGGATTAGGGAAAATTGGAAGGCAAGGCAATATGGTGAAATCTTCAAATGTGAAGGACTGCCAGGTGGAGGATGAAGCAAGCATGTTTTCTCCTTCTCCATGGGTTAGAAAAGAAGCCAAAGGATTCAAGTCACAGGAAAGGAGATAAACCATTAAGAAGGCCACCTGCTGTTTAAGAGTGAAACAGACTACCTTGGGAGGCAGACTGTCTTTTGAAAGAGGCTTACAAATGGAGGCTGGATGGTCATCTATTAGCAGTGGTTTATCTGAGATATTCTGTGCTGACAGAAGATTGAGCTAGAGAGATGGCTGACTGGCACAGTTCTATGATTCTGTGAAGTAGAGTAGATCCATTAAATAAGTGAGGACTTGTTTAGAACATAGATACATTCCGCTAATTCAGTGGGTCTACTAGTGACTTGCTAACTAGAGGCAACAAGGGAGAGTAACTCATTAACTAGTGGCAATTCAGCACTGCCTTTCATTTGCCACTGCCCTTATGCTGCTGTAGATAATCAATGGATATCTGGCCAGTAATTTTATTTATAAAAATAGCTCTAAAAGTATTGATCAAACAAAGCAACAGGAGTTTGGTTAGTGCTACATAAATCTCAACTTTTCTAACAATGTGATTTAAAAACAGTCCTTAATAAACCCCACTTAAATGTACCATGCCCTGTTGCACACACTTTTTGACATGCAATGCCTGATACCCTTGTCTTGTGTGTGTTTCTTTTTCCTTTGTTACAGAGCTGCAAACCTATATTTCTTATTCATTGTGCTACTAAACTGGGTTCCAGTGGTCGAAGCTTTCAGGAAAGAGATCACCATGGTCCCTCTGCTAGTGGTCCTCACGATAATTGCAATAAAAGATGGCGTAGAGAATTACACAAAGTACAGATTAGATAAAAAGATAAACAATTTAGTCACCCAGGTCTACTCTACGTAAGTAAATGGGGGGGGGAGTCTTTGATAGATATACCTATGGTTGTTCTTGTCCTGAGAAGCAACACTCCCTGCTGCCTCTACTCCGTCTCTGACCAAAGCAGATTCAGTTCCAAAACTAGACTCAAAGCCAAATCATGGGATGTCGGAATAATCAGTTCCAGGAAATTCACAGGCTCAGGCTCCTCTTGTGATTGCAGGATTTAGCATCTGAGCAGGACTTCTGTTCCCACTGAATCTAGTTGGCCTGGTCTATCCTAGTGGTTCTCAACTTTTGACCCTTTAGATGTTTTGGAGTTCAATTCCCAGAAGCCCCCGTCAGCAGTGCCAAGCATCAGGGCGCCACTGATTCCACGACATTGAGGTCTAAAGAGCCAAAGATGGAGAACCACTTGTCACAGTACAGATCACGCCTCTGTATATTGGACTCCACAGATTCCAAGGTAATGTTAAGAGCATGCTTAAGGAGAATCAAACATCACTGGTCCCACTTCTCCAATATGCACAGGATCTATTAAGTCACAGACTCATCTGAGCAGAGCTCTTTTATCTGCAAGACCAAGGCAAATCTGCATTCTTATTGACTTAGCTGGAAAATTGAAAATGGGGCGTTATTGTGTTTATGTCTTTTGTTTGTGTCCTTGGGGAGGATGTGGGCATTCTTATTGACTTAGCTGGAAAATTGAAAATGGGGCGTTACTGTGTTTTTATGCATGTCTTTTATTTGTGTCCTTGGGGAGGATGTGGCTAGGAAATATCTGAATAAGTAAATTAATGTGACTGCTCCTTTCTAGGTCAGTATCAAATAATTTCTTTGGTTCATGCAAAGCAAAATTAAAAGGCGGCATTACAAAGACTTTGTGAAATGATTTGTTTTCTTTTTCTGGAATGAAAGTTTGGTGGCTTTTAAAGTTTGAAGTGGTTCAATTAATAACCAAGGAGTTTTTTTTTATTTCATTTATCATTACTAAATGATGGTGCTTTTCCTGATTTTCAGAAAAGAAAAGACATACATGGAGAAATTCTGGAAAGATGTTCAAGTTGGTGATTTTATCCAACTATCATGTAATGAAGAAATTCCTGCTGATATGGTGCTGCTATACTCTAGCGATGGGGACGGGATCTGTCATATTGAAACATCAAGTCTTGATGGAGAGACCAATCTAAAACAGAGGCAGGTTGTGAAAGGCTATGCTGAACAGGTACACACTGCTCTTCCTCTAGTTACTAAGGAAAATAAGTGGGTATAAACCTCATTCTACTGAGTTTGGTGGGAAAAGTTTTGTAGACTGTGTTGGTTCTTGACAATGTCCTTTATGCCTGATTTGGGATTCCTGGTTTTTTTGGTGCCTGGGGTGCTTTTTGATATTGGTTTGTTTGATTTTGGGTGCCATTTTGCCTTTAGGAAACTGTGTCCCTCCTGGGCAACTATGTGAATATAGCTGAAACAAACACGACACCGGTCTCTTTCTACCCCATATGGTGTCAGTGCAAAGCTAGTGGGTATAAACCTCATTCTACTGAGTTTTCTACCCCATATGGTGTCACTGCAAAGCCCTGACCTTGCTGAATGTTGGTATTTATCCTGTTTGGGATATTCCCTGCACCAGGGCATACTCCTCATTATAAGCAATTTCAAAGTGTAAAAAGTTCTGTAAGCATGGAATGTACTCAGAGGCATAGCTTTGAGATACACTCTTCATCATCTCCATTTCTGAATAAAGAGGTCAACAGATGGGTGACTTTGACTTGCCCATGGCCTGCTGGCTCCAAACCTTGCTGTGGGTCAGATCAGCTGTTGCATATTATATTTGCCAGACGTTATATAAGCAATTTCAAAGTGTAAAAAGTTCTGTAAGCATGGAATGTACTCAGAGGCATAGCTTTGAGATACACTCTTCATCATCTCCATTTCTGAATAAAGAGGTCAACAGATGGGTGACTTTGACTTGCCCATGGCCTGCTGGCTCCAAACCTTGCTGTGGGTCAGATCAGCTGTTGCATATTATATTTGCCAGACGTTATAGATCCATGAGTTGCACTTCCATAATAGTCAAAAAAAGGTGTAAAAAGTTCTGTAAGCATGGAATGTACTCAGAGGCATAGCTTTGAGATACACTATTCATCATCTCCATTTATGAATAAGGAGGTCAACAGATGGGTGACTTTGACTTGCCCATGGCCTGCTGGCTCCAAACCTTGCTGTGGGTCAGATCAGCTGTGCATATTATATTTGCCAGACGTTATACTGTAGATCCATGAGTTGCACTTCCATAATAGCCTAGTCAAAAAAAGTTGCCTTTTCCTTTGACAGCAGCAGTGGTGCGAGGTTGGCTGGCTGTGTAGCAACAGCAAAACACAGGGGACTGGATGCAGTCCATACTTTATCCACATGCCTGAGAATTTGAAATGTTTACTTGAAAATGTATAGCTTTTAAGAACTTCTTTGTTCCCACTGTGCCAAGAAGAATTGCTTTTTCCTCTCTAGAGGTGGCCAGTTGGCATTAAGTAGGACCTCACCTGTTGACCAGAAAACTTCTTACCTTCCTGAGGATATAGATATATCCAGTGCTTAGACTTCTCTTCAGGTCATGTCAGGTATTGTAGACAGGTGTGAAAAAATACAATTTGTGAAACAGCAAGAATTTACTGTCCCCAGAATTCATACTGTCTTAGAGTAGCTGCTTTCTATGTCTGATCTCCATCTCCTCCCTCCTCCATCTTCTTTCTCGCAGGACACTGAAATTGATCCTGAAACATATACAGACAGGATTGAGTGTGAACCTCCTAACAATGACCTGAACTCCTTCCGGGGCTTTATGTAAGTTGATTGAGAAAGTTCTTACTGCTGTTGAAAGGCTTACAGCACTCTTCTAAAAGCTGAGATCAGCCCCCTAGCCACCTGGTGGCAACTGCTGGCTGTTGTCAGAAACCAGCGTAGGCTGAGGATAAGTCGCTGTTGAATGCAACTTGACAGCAGATGGCTTTCATAATGTGCACTCCTTCCTCACAGTGACTTTCCACCAAGTCAGGTTGCTTGCTACATACACAATGGGAAACATGAAAAGTGATCATTGTCAGGGTGATTTGGAAAGAACTGGCTAAATTAAAGCCTAACAGCCAGCCTCAGCCACACTCCTTTGTATATATTGTGCCATCCTAAGCATCTTAAGGTCTGATACAATGTGCCAGTGAATTTGGTTTAAAACTTTCTGTGCTGAATTCTTTTAAAAGTCTGTCTGTAGATGTCATACTCTACAATGAATATTTGGAAAGAGCTAGTTTAGTGTTATATAGCAAAAGCACTATCTGGGAGGTACTTCTGGGGTGGGGGGTATCAATTAGAGCTGGTTGTTGTTGTTGTTGTTGTTCTTGTTCTTGTTGTTGTTGTTGTTGTGTCTTTGCAGTGAGAATCCCGATAAAGAACGAGTGGGCCTGAGTAAGGAGAACTTGTTGCTGCGTGGCTGCACAATTAGAAATACAGAGACTGTCATTGGCATTGTGGTCTATGCAGGTCAGCACCATGGTTGGACAGGGCTAGCTTGCTCAGCTTGGGATGCAGATGTAGAGAGGAAAGCCACCCCAATCATCACTGGCAAAGAGAAAGGCTCAAGTGTGACAAATAGCACTCTATCACTTATATATTTGGCCTACTTACCTCTCCAAAGCAGCTGACACAGCTCCCTTCCTCACACCAGCCCTAGGAGGAAGTCAGGCGGAGAGTTTGTCACTGGCTCATGGTCACCCAGAGAGTGTCATGGTTGAGTGGGGATGAGGTCTCCCTCATTGTAGTGCCGTGCTAATCATTATGCCACACTGTTCTGTTCAGAATAGTAACAGGAAAATGTAGAGAAATATCCCATTATAAGACCAGCTGAGGTCTGAAAAGGAGATCCCATAAATTGCAGACATGCTTCTCGCTGTGTAATGTGCAGAGTTCTCTGATTGAAGAAACACACACACACACACTTCTTCTACAAAAAGACACGTGTATTAACAAATATATACAAATATACAAAGTAGCAGACCTTCGGCGTGGCAGGCAAAAATATAGGCAAAGTAGCATAGAGGATAGAAGCATATAGGAAAGAAGGAGATACATTACTGTCCACACTGTTCCCTTATATACAATTAAACTGATCCTTCTGTCCAATCACTGGAAGTGTTGCATCATCTTCCTCCACATAGGTGTTGCATCATCCCCAGGCATTGCATCATCTTCTTCTTAGTCACTGTGACTCAGCAGTTACACAGCTGTTCATTATGGCAGTTCATTAATGTTACATTCTGGACCTGTTCAGGCCTATAAAATGTACAATACTTTGACACATGTGTTTGTGGCTAGAGAGGGCAGTTTTTGTTTGTCTAGTTTTGTCCCATTAGAATTCAGCTAGTAGAATTCAATGAATAGGATAAGTTCCTCTTGTCTATTTATTTATTCATGCTTGCTTGCATGTCTTCTATTCACTCACTTATTGAAAATGTCTATCTAGGACCTAAAAGACGCAATGTTACACAAGCTTCTGAAAGAATGTTCCAACTGAGAACCGAGCCTCTCCCTAGGGTAGGAGCAAATGCTTTTAAGGCTATGGACTTAGTTTGGCCTCTTGAGTCTTTCAGGTCCAGTATAATAGATCACTATCACAAATGATTATGTAGTCTAATCATTTTCTAAAGTGAAAGAATGTTCCAACTGAGAACCGAGCCTCTCCCTAGGGTAGGAGCAAATGCTTTTAAGGCTATGGACTTAGTTTGGCCTCTTGAGTCTTTCAGGTCCAGTATAATAGATCACTATCACAAATGATTATGTAGTATAATCATTTTCTAAAGTGAGTATGCTCCTATCGGTTCTCTGATTCTACCACCACCACCACCACCACCACCTGCATTTGCCCTGATTCTTTCTGATCTGCTACATGGTGATCCTATATAATTGCTACAATTAATTCAAAGTATGGATTTGGTTCTTAAAATTGTTTCCACCCATTTCTAGTTGTTAGGACAGTTTAACCTAATAAGCTTCAGGACAAATTCCACAAAGCCAGAATATTTAGTATGCCTTCTCTAACTCCCCTGCTGTTCTTAACCTTTGTGGAATATATTTCCGTTCTTTAAATTGCATTTATAAAGTCTGGTATATTTTGTTTGTTAAAAGGTCATGAAAGCAAAGCCATGTTAAACAACACAGGGAGTCATTACAAAAGAAGCAAACTAGAGAGGAAAGTAAACCATGATATCATCTGGTGTGTTCTGCTGCTCTTTGTGATGTGCTCAGTCGGGGCAATAGGTATGTTAAGTGTTAGATCTACTTAACTTAGGGCTCCATCACACATGAGAAAATAACCCCAGTTATACTGATTCTTTCATACCTCTGTTGTACTGATACATTTTTTCCAGCACTCACATGGTATATTTTTTATCAGCAGGAGCATTCTCATTGTTTTTATCTGTATTGATTCATTTCTTTCTGTTTGAACCATTATAGCTGTCTACACTGCTCCATAAATTTGAATCAATTTATTTTCTCTACTGTTTCTTGGGGCAATCATTCCCCTCCTTGTCCTTAAAAAATTCAGCAAAAGTGATATATCAATAGTACAATAGAATACAGCAGTACAAGCCTTCTCTCCTTCTCCCCTTTTCCTTTCCCTCCTTTATTCATTTGCCCCCTTTTGCTTATTACCCGGCATATCTCTCCTGTTCAGTTATTGGTTTTCATTTTTATTTTCCCTTTTGCACAGGGTTAAGAGGAGGAATTCAGTTTTGAAAGACATGCAAAGTATTATGAACAGCAGGGTTAAAAAAAGAGAGGACATATTAATGCTACACTCCTTTCTTTACAGTTTAAAGCAGGAAATGTTCCTTACTGTGCTTAAGCCCTTTTTCACTGCAAGGGAGGGAAAGCTGTCTTCTTCTGAGTAATGTGTTCAGCAATGGCAGCTACTAGTGATTTGTTGACATGCCTTTTTTAAAAAAAGAAATTAAACAGTACAAGTGCAGTGGGCATGAAGTAGCCACAAAAACTGATCCCTTTGCAAAGGATATTGATTGAAAGCAAGATTTGCTGGGATTTATTTCCAATGAAGCATGCACAGGATTGTAGCCATAGCCAGCTTGTTGTTTCAAGTTGGTGCCCAAGTACATCCTGTTCATGGGACTGATTTGGTCCACCAGGGGTTAGAATCTGGATTGTCAGAGGTTCCCCTTTCTCCAAACCTCAGCCCTTCATCAAATCTCCCCTACCCCCCCAGAGAGAGAGAGCAGTCCCTGCTGTCTCTAGTCAGAGAGTGGTCAGATATTCCCCTGTGCTTCCAAATGGAGCACTCTCCTTTCTGTTTCACCATTTAAGGAAAGAAAAAGAGGTGAAATACCACTGTTTGTCAGCCAGTGCTCCTAGGGGGCTCTTAGGAAGGCCAGTGAAGAGTGGATTGCTTTTCCATCCTAGATGAGAAGGGGGACAAAATCAAGAGTGATCAGCAAGCATCTCCAGGAGATCCTGAAGGCCACGACTGAGAGTCTTTCTTTCCTCCACCCCTCCCTGCTTGGCAAGGAATGAAACCTAATTCCCAGCTGAAGTTGTTGCTCCAGTGCTCCTAGGGGGCTCTTAGGAAGGCCAGTGAAGAGTGGATTGCTTTTCCATCCTAGATGAGAAGGGGGACAAAATCAAGAGTGATCAGCAAGCATCTCCAGGAGATCCTGAAGGCCACGACTGAGAGTCTTTCTTTCCTCCACCCCTCCCTGCTTGGCAAGGAATGAAACCTAATTCCCAGCTGAAATTGTTGCGGTTATGTGTCATCAAGTCATCTCCAACCTATGGCGACCGTATGAACTATGTGTCATCAAGTCACCTCCAACCTATGGCGACCGTATGAATAAGTAATCTCCAGAATGTCCTGTTCTCAATAGCCCTGTTCAGCTCCTGTAAACTTAAGCCTATGGTTTCCATCTCCTATTTGCTCTTCCTCTTTTTCTGCTGCCTAATACCTTTCCCAGCATTATGGTCTTTCCCAGACTGGATAAATGGGGCTCATTAGCCTTGGAAGGCAGCCCATCTAGGAGAATGACAGCTCTGATTTCAAACTTCCATTGCCTTGTGGCTATATCCATCAATGGAAAAGGCTTCAGGAGTTAACCTCGAGGAAAAATCCAGAGCCAGAATCCCAGAGGCAGTTTGTGACACTCTGGCAACTCCTGTGACGTCGCTGGAACCAGTTGTATTGGCTCTTGCCTTTCCACTGGATTATTTCTTAGACCAGTCATGTCCCTACCTTATAAGGATGCTGCTAGGATATAGCAGCAAGGACAAGGGTAAAGTATGCTCCCTCGGAGAAAAGGTGAAATACAAAATGGGACATGTAAATAATAGCCAACTGTAGAGCAAAGTCATTTAGGTATCTGGCTGTAGAGCCAGAGGTTGGGAGTTCAAATCCGCTCTGTGGAAAAGAGCCAGCCTGGGTAGCCTTGGGCAAGCTGCAGAGTCCCAGGGCTCCCCCTAGAGGAAGGGAAGGGTAAAGCACTTCTGTGTATTCCTTAGCTGGAAAACCCTGAAAGGGGTCACCATGTCAGAACTGACTTCAAGGCACTTTGTGATGATGATAAATCATCAGCTGGCCATCTTTCTCCAGAAACATGGCTGCTTGTCTTGACAGTGAAAGACAGGAGGCCTCTCCAGGCTCTGGAGAAACAGAAAGGTTTGTGGGGTGAGTGGGAGAGTCGCATCGTCACGTTGCTGCTCTTGACCTCCCGGGCAATGGGGGTCAGGATCTGCAGGCTGTACACTGGAGCTTACAAAATAATCACCACCAATTAGTTAAAAATACAATTTGGAGATTAAAGGCTACAAACCAGATAAGGGCAGCCAGCTGGATAAATATGATTTCTGAACACCTCATTATCCCCAGCAGGATAGACGGGGATTGTCAGCCTTGGAAGGCAGCCCATCTAGGAGAAGGAAAACTCTGATTTCCACTGCCTTGTGGCTGTATTCACTGATGGAAAAGGCTTCAGGAGTTAACCTCCAGGCAAAATCTGGAGCCGGAGTCCCGGAGGCAGTTCATGATGCTCTGGCAACTCCTGCAATGTCACTGGAACCAGTTGTATTGGCTCTTGCCTTTCCATTGGACTATTTCAGTGACATGCAGAGGGGGTATTTGCTCTTTGGGTAACAGTCTGGCCTCCATATTATTTTACCCAGGCCTCATGCTCTGGAGAGGACACTCCAGCTTCACATACAGTGTCAAAATAACACGGGGATTAGCGGTTATACGTCTTTGCTTGATTGGCATAGAGTGTGAAGCCAAGGGCTACTTCCGATGGTGGGAGAGGTCATTGCACCTCATTAGGTAGCTACCGCCTGCCTTCAGCTGGGCAGCCCCCAGCCAGTAAGGTGCTGCTTCACCACAGTCTGTTAACCTCATGGGGTACGTGGGGTTTAGGGTGAACGCCGACAAGCAGATAGATAATGCAATAATCATAAGAAATCTTTTGCCCTAAATCTGGGCACTTGGAATGTTTGGACAATGACCCCTGGAATTTCTGACGACCTGCAGAAAACAGCCGACATGCACAAGACAGCTGTCATCGACATGGAACTGAGTAGGCTGCAGATAGACATTGTTGCCCTGCAAGAGATGAGATTCCCAGACTCGGGATCTGTCAAAGAAAAAAAGTTCTCATTCTTCTGGCACGGAAGACCATTGAATGACAATACCACCTTCATAGTTTTACTTTGCTAAATATTCTTGTGTGTTTTCTTTTCAAAGGTCATGGAATCTGGCTAGGCGAGTATCCAGAACCACCTCTCTTCAGCAGTGGGAAATGGCTTTCCCCACCAGTGGGAGGATTTTTAAGGTTTTGGACAATGATAATTTTATTACAGGTAATTCCACACCTTGCTTGATCTATGCCACTTCATTTTTATCAAGTGGAGAAAATGCTACCCTCCAGATGTTGTGGAAACTCCCATCAGCCTTAGTCAGCATTTTCAATAGGGGATGATAATGAATTACAGTCTAACAAGATCTGGAGGGTGGCAGCCTCTCCTCTGATTTCTCTCTTTTTAAAGCTAACTTGAGTTTGATAAACACGTTCAAGGCCTTTTTTTTGGTGTAGCAGCACAACCTGGCTTCATAAAAAATCTCTCTTTTTCCTTTGCTCTGACAGGTCTTGATCCCAATTTCGCTGTATGTTTCCATTGAATTCGTCAAATTGGGACACATCTATTTAATCCAAAATGACATTGATTTGTACCACGAACCCACAGACACCAGGATTCAATGTGGATCCCTAAATATTGCCGAAGATCTCGGACAAATTGAATACATTTTCTCAGACAAGACTGGAACGCTCACGGAAAATAAAATGGTTTTTCGGAGATGCAGCATTGCGGGGCATGAATATGGCCACGAAGAGAATGGTAAGCTGAGGAGCAATGACAAATCCGTACTTCGGGTATGGTACCAAAACATGAAATGTTTAACAAGAAGCTTCCTGCTACAGCTAAGGAAGGAGCAGCCTGTGAGGTGAACTACCATCATAGTATTTTCTTCTTGGTGAAACTGAGGCCCTCACTGCCAGAGTTTTGCCCTCACTTGGCAAACATGGAGGAGCCATTCCTCACAATTTTAAGCTCTGTTGGGGGAACAGGGACTTCAGCCTACTCATACTGGCACATGTTGTTGTTGTTTTAAGAGCTAGTGCAATTGGTGTATAATGTTCCTATTTTTATTTCTGTTTTATGAGCTGTTACCCACCCAGAGCAGTGCTGTGACACTAACAGGAGCAGGATACTAAATGAATGAATGAATGAATGAATGAATGAATGAAAATAAATAAATAAATAAATAAATAAATAAATTTTAAAAAGACCCCAAATCGGCATTTCTGATTCACACCCAACCCAAAATGATAGTATATGAACAATAGCTCTCTTCTAGAAGTTACTGAGAGTTTTAAAATTTTATATTTAGCAAACCATATAGGTAAAGGTAAAGGTTCCCCTTGACAAGAGACTGTCAAAAACAATGAAATTTTGTTGCATATTGTAAGGTTACATCTGTGGGAGTTCAAGGGGGTGTCAAACTGAGGCAGTCCATGTGTCTGATTGTGCAACTAGCTGTGCAGCTGCATCTGTGGAACTTCTTCCTGGATGTGACTTTCCTCTTGGTACAAAATTTGCAACAGTTTGTACAGCTGGAAGTTATGAGATATTTTCCCAACACAACAAGATTTGGGCCAATTTGTCATGTGTCATACGTCTAAGATGTTGTGTCTTTTCCATCTGTGTGTGTACAGAAGAATTGTAACTTAACAGAACCATTGAGACAAGGAGGCTGCCCCTACCAGTAGGTAAAGGCAGCCACCTCAAGAAGGAGACTGTTATGGATGCAGAATGGATAGAGCAATATCTGCCACATGACATGCTTTGTGCTCCCAAGGCTACCCAGTTGCTTTCCATGGAAGGGAGATTGCTCTGAAATAAGAATCAGCTAGTATTTGGATCAGCTCTTGTACACAGAGTTAGACACTGAGAGAGGCATCATCTTCTACTTGACCTCATACAGCAAAATATTTTGGACTAGCTTTGTCACTTTACTCTCTTGGGATCCAGTCCTCTAATTCAAATGGCATCATCTCAAAGAACTATTGTTTGTGGGATTTTCAGTAGCACACATCACAGCTCATTTCCAGTCCCTGTTCCTTTTTTATATATGATGCACACACTGTGGTCCATACAAAATGATGCTCTGGGATAAATGTTGCATTTTAACAGAACTTAGTCTCCTCATCCTCCTCTTCCTTGGGGAAAAAAATGCCATGTACATATTATCTCAGGGTCATGTGCTAATTTATTTTGAGTTCCTGAATGTGTTCTTAGAAAATGTATAAAATTCTGAATTAGGTTGAAATCATGCATATCATATTTGCATCTGTTCAATAAGAGATAATTTATTTTTTCCTTCCCTATAATGGCTACAGAACATGGTCTATCATAATGTCTAATTTTTTCAGTGCTCCCTGATGTTTTACACAGACACAGACACAGACACAGACACAGACACAGACACAGACACAGACACAGACACAGACACAGACACAGACACAGACACAGACACAGACACAGACACAGACACAGACACAGACACAGACACAGACACAGACACAGACACAGACACAGACACAGACACAGACACAGACACAGACACAGACACAGACACAGACACAGACACAGACACAGACACAGACACAGACACAGACACAGACACAGACACAGACACAGACACAGACACAGACACAGACACAGACACAGACACAGACACAGACACAGACACAGACACAGACACAGACACAGACACAGACACAGACACAGACACAGACACAGACACAGACACAGACACAGACACAGACACAGACACAGACACACACACACACACACACACACACACACACACACACACACACACACACACACACACACACACAAATCAATTTTCTATCCAGTAAGGAAAATTAGAAGAAGTCACCAAGTCATGGGGGTTTTGTATTTAGTACATCCATAAAATAATAAATACTCCCAAAAGGACCGTTTGTTTTGCCAGTACAGACTAAGGAAACATCTGAGTACAATCCATATTGTGTTCTCTAAAGCTTTCATGGCCAGGATCTGATCGTTGTTGTAGGCTTTTCAGGCTGTTTAGCCATGTTCTAGAGGTTTTTCTTCCTAACTTCACCAGTCTTTGTGCCTGGCATCTTCAGAGGACAGGAGTTAGAACTCTGTCTGTGTTCTGGTGTAGTGTGTGGGATACTTGAGTATTTGTAGCTGTGGGAACAGCTTTTTGTCCTTTGCAGGAGATTGGGTGATTATGGTGATCAGGGAGTTTTTTGTTATAGGTGTATTGTTGTGATAAGGGGGGAGATGATCTGTCACTGTGATTGATGGGTGTTGTTAGCTAGTCTTTCGTGTGCAGTGATCACCAGTCCTTTTTACTGGGTAGAGTTTGTTGACCTTTTTGCAGGCTGTATTTTTCAGTGCTGGGACCCGGGCTTGTTGAGTGTGGTGTCCGCCCAGGTCATGAATATTAATGTGCTATCTGCATGGACCAATGAGAGTGCTGGAGAGGTGGAGTCATGAGATATAAGATTCTCTGCAGGAGGAGGAGTTTCAATTGGAGTTTAGAGAAGAGATGTGAGTTTGAATTTGAGAGTTTGGAGTAGAGAGAGAGGGTTGGCGATTGTGGAGTCATGAAGAAGTTTGAATTTGAAGAGTTAACGACACTGATTGTACCTTCATCACCTGTAACAATAAACAACTTCTATTTGGTTCTTTTAAAATGACACATTGTCTGGACCTCTGTGATTAATAATAAACAAAGTTGATGTAATCAAGTGGTGGCAGCAACATGACACATAGCTTGTGCCCTTTGATTGGTGAAACAACCAAGGGACAGATGGGAATGTGATATTGAATTTTAGACTTTTTTTGTTGAAGCTGTGCTGATGTTTCTGGATTTCAATGGCTTCCCTGTGTTGTCTAACACAATGATTGCTGGTGTTGTCCAGCACTTCTGTGTTTTGAAATACGATTTTGTGTCCAGCTTGTTTTAGGGCATGTTCAGCTGCTGCTGTTTCCAGTTGTTTCATGTTCTTTGAATCTGGGGTAGATGCTGTGTTTTGTGGTCCCAATATATACCTGGCAACAAATGAAAGGTATCCGGTATACTCCCGCAGTGGTGATGGGGTCCCTTTTGTCCTTTGCTGACTGTAACATTTGTTATATTTTTGTAGTGGGCCTGAATACTATTTGTAGGTTGCGTTTTTTTCAAAAGTTTCCCCATGTGGTCTGTGACCTCTTTGATGTATGGCAGAAATACTTTATTGGTGGCTGTTTTTCCTCTTCCGTTCAGTGTTGTTTTCTCAATTTGATGGCTCTTGTGATTTCATTTGGGGGTAGCCATTTGCCTGTAGGGCCCAATTCAGATGGTTGAGATTGGTGCTGAGAAACTGAGCTTCACAGTTCCAATTCTCACGGTCTACCACTGTTTTGATTATGCCTCTTTTTTGCTGACGTTTTTGTGTAGGTACCAGTCTGTGTGGCTGGGTTTTCTGTAGACCTTGTGCCCCAATAGGAGGTCAGGTTTGTGTATGACCATGACATCTAAGAAAGGGAGTTGACCCTCTATTTTTTCCCCATGGTGAATTGTATATTTGGGTGGATGCTATTGAGATGGTTTAGAAATTCTTCCAGTTTTTCTTCACCATGGCTTCAAATTGTGAAGGTGTCATCCATGTATTGGAACCAGACTGTGAGTGTGAAGGTGCCATGAGTGCAGCCGAAGATCTGCAACCTGAAGGGCTAACTGTAGCTGAGGAGAATGCCGAGCAATCAGAAATACAAACATCTGAATCGCCTCCAGATTCTCCTCCCCCAGTAGACAGGCTGAGGGCCAGGCTGCAGGGAAGACTTATGACACAAAGGTCAGAGGATCGCTTGAAGGCTGCCCGCAGAAACATCCAATCAACTAGCCCTGAGTTTGGACAGGATGAAAAGGCCTCCAGCAGTTCAAGGGCTGTTTTTACTATATAAACAGCTCTCAGACAGCTGAAAATCCGTGGAAGCAACAAGTCAAATCTCTGGCTTGCATCCACGCTCCTGACAACCTTGAACCTTGTTCCCTGGACCCTTGGCTTTGGACTCTGACCCTGGACTACATTGTACGTTTTGGCATTGGACTCTGACCCTGGACTATGTTGTGTGAGTTGGCTTTGGTATTTGGGATATTGGCTCTACATTCCCTGAATTCCTGACATAGGACTGGCTTATCGGACTCTGCTGTTGTAACCCCCGGGAATGTGACAGAAGGCTGCTGAAGACAGGGCCTGTTTTTCAAAATGTTCCATGTAGAAGTTTGCTATAACCAGGCTGAGGGGTCTCCTCGCGGCCACTCCATCTGTCTGTTCATAGAAATCATTATCTGGGCTGTGATGTCTTCTGGAAAGATCTGCTGGGTGAGTGTCAGAGTGTCCTTTATCAGTACCTTGGGGAATAGGGATGCTACATCAAAGCTGATTAGTCTGTCTCTGAGGTTGGTTTTAGGGTGCTGATCTTGTTTATGAAATGCCCTGAGTCTTTGATGTAGGATGAGGTTTGTCCAATGTGGGTCTGTAGGAGAGTGGCTACGTTTTTTGCTAATTCATATGTCGGGGAGCCAATGGCACTTACGATGGGCCTGGGTGGGATTGAATCTTTGTGGATTTGGGGGAGTCCGTATAGTCTTGGTGAGAGAGCTTCTGTCTTGCAGATTTGTTGAAGGATGTTGAGGTGCAAGGAGGAACTCCTGATCAGCATGTTTGTTTGTTTTGTGATTTTATTGGTTCGGTCGCATTTCAGTTTTCTGTAGGTGGTGGGGTCTAGAAGTTCCCTGATTTTGTCCTTGTATTCTTCTGTTTGCATGATTACTTTAGTGTTGCCTTTGTCTGCTGGCAGACACCCTGCTACGTACCCACATTGAACAAACCTCATCCTACATCAATCACTGGTTATTCTTTCCCTTTCGTTTTTCCACAGACTTCCTGTTTGGGCATAGTAGAGCTACCAATTATAGCTACTTTAGCCACTTCTGCTGCTTTGTATCCAACCCCCACACCCCTTGTTTGGTTCTTACAAGCCCAGCTTCTAGCAGCATGTCTATACATATATGGCACATACTCATCGTTTTACCTAGCCTTCAATATATTTTGTCTACTCATTTACTTCCTCCACTGCTGCTGAATCAGCAAGCTTCCCAAGTTTCATGATTAAGAAACTGATTACTTAATAGTCCAAATTCATTTGCCTTAACATGGACGCTTTTATATCCATACCTATACACACCTCCCACCACCACACACTGAATTCCTTGTGTGTCTTTTGGCGCAAGAGGTAGACATTCTTGAAAAACTCTGACTTCTTTTTCTCTCTGCCCTTCCAGATAAGAGACTAGAATCTTACCATGAATTTGAGTCAGATGATGAAGAGGGAGGATTCTTTCCTTCACAGTCTTCTTTGAAGCGTCTGTCCAGGGCAAGATTTAGCCGAAAATCAAGTGCATTCATTGCTGGCAGGTCTATTAGCCACATGTTTCGCAGCTGCAGTGCTGTACGTGTGTCAAGCATGAGACACCTGGCCTTCAGCAGCCCAATTGTAAGTATGCCATATACCTACCTCTACCTAATTTGGGTGTGACTACATTGCAGAGACAAATCAATAAGATTCAGTTTTGCTGCTCCTTGATTTGTTGCCAGTAATTACCATAGAATCGCAACCTAGGACACACAAGGTCTTTGGATTGATTTGTGAAATCACCTTTCATATTGTTTGCAATAGCACCAACAATCCTGCTGATACGCAGCCTTTATTTCCTTCCTTCCTCTGGTCCTGCCTCTACTTTCCTTTTATGGTTTGCTGTGAAGCTCCTAAAAGGAGGCAGCATTCCAAACATCAGGGGAGAGGAATGAATGCAAGGGTATGTTCCCACAGTCCTCGAAATCACACACAGTCTGCTTACATCACTGAAACACATCACCAATAGACACCCCTCAATTTTTACCAGAATGGTTGCAGGGGGAATAGCCTAATTGTATTCCAGCATGCAAAAGTTGAGACCCACTACTGCCATACAAAAGAGTTGGTTTGGCTATAATTGCATTGAGTTGAATCCACCTTGTACATCTATTAAGGATATATGATGTTATTAACTGGAAATAAGGGGTTGTTTTATCATGTTTTAATGGAATTTTATTACCCTGACTGACCTTACGAAATTGTAATTATATGTATCTATTTTATATTGATTTGGTTTTACTGGTCTTTGACCGTAATAAAGTATTCAATAATTCAATTCACCTTGTACATCATGCAGGCACTAAAATATATTTCAATTTTACTCGCTTTATAAGTATA